GGTTCAGGGGAAGAGGCTTCTCCCTCCCACCCCATGCCGGCCAAGCCATGGGGTACCCTACCGCAGCAGCACCCTGCAAGGGTGCATGCGCCTCGGGGGCTGCCTTACCGGTGATGATGAGGAGAATCCCAATCATCACCTGGAAGAAGAGGGAGATGCTGATGAGCACGATGAGGGTGGCGTAGTACTGGAAGGAAGGCCCCTGCTCCAGCACCGCTTTGAGCTGCGTGACGTTCGCCATGAACAGTGCCACGTCCAGCATGCTCTCCGCCACGCTCTTCTTCGTCGCGTAGTGGTTGATGTTCATCGGCCCGTTAATCCGGAGGTGAGGATTCACGCCCTGGGAAGACAGGAGAAACCGCATGAGCTGGTACAATTGCTAAGCCGACAGACCCATCCGTGTCGAACAGGCTGCTGCCTCCCCATGAGGTTTATCTAGAAAGCCTCGGAGAGTCGAAGTTGCGTGTTTTAAACGTGTTGAGAGTGCCCAGTTTTCCCTCACAGTTGCCTCATGATATTAATAGGCACAAGATACTTGCGCTGATCAAGAACTCAGCAAGGTTAGAAAAATACTGGGTATTTTTGTGGAAAACAAGCTTGTTGAGAGTTACAATAATGTAGATTACCCAGAGCCAGGGATTTTACAAGGAATATTAAATTCTCTTCCTTCAGGGCACAGACAAGCCTCAAACTTACAGGGGATTAGAGAGAAATCTTCTCTTTGGGTCGGGTGTTCAAAGGACTGTCAATGGCTGGGCTTTATATCTCCTCCGAACACTTTTTGCTGTTCTACTGTCTTAGACAAGATGCTAGAGCAGATGGGACAATCCACATTTTTGTTTCTGAAACCAGGGGCACTATTTCTTCAAAACGTCGGGCACTAAAACGCACCGAGACAAGGGGTGGGATCCATCACACCTAACTTTAACTAATCATTCAGGCACATTTTTTGTCAGTGGAAAGAAACATATATTTATAAGGGGTAAATCACCTGGTTGCCCTTAACCTAATAACAAGCTGTGGGTCATTTGCCTGCTTTTAGCCATCCATCTTTTCTCTATCTTTCTTGTTAAGTGAGTTCCCCTGCTAGCTGTCTTGACCAAATGGTGAAAAAAAAGAGATAGAAAAGGGGACGATAGTTTTCAATTCACCCAGAGTGTCATCTGGTAATAAACCACCAGCAAAGGCAACAATTACAAAAGATTTGGATACATCTGCAGCAAGCTATGACCTTCTTTCTTAAAAAGAAAGAAAAACAACACTTGCACATAGCAGACAGGCTTCAGTTCTGGGTAATCAGCCTCCTGTCAGAGGTAAAGACCAGCAGCCTTGCCCTCAGCGCTGTCTGATGGATAACCCTTTAAATCTGGAGATAAGGGCTGGGTGCAGACCTGAGGTGACCTCTTTTGCTCAGAGTGGTGGAAGAGATTTCTCCAGGTGCATATTGGAAGTAGGACTGTGCCTACATCAAATGGTAAGTCCTATTTTGGTCTTTTAGTACCAGATAAAGTACAAAATGTAATCTTTCCTTCATGCTCTGGGCATGACACTAGAGAAGGGTTATGGCTAGTGGTTCATGCTGCTGTCTCTGGTCTCTTTGTGCATCCCTGGGCAAGAGTGGCTTCATCTGAGCCAGGGTGGGAGTGTGAGCAAAGCCAGTGATTCTGGGAGCGTGCTGCGTGACGTTCTGTGTCTGATACTGAAATGGGGGCTGAATTTTGGAAGGGGGTTGTGGTCTGTACCAGTGATCACCCTCACGTGAGGACGATGTGTAGTAAAAAGTGGGCAGGAAGGACTGTGTCTAGTTTGAACTACTGATGAACTGTCATCCCTAAGAAGGGGCCGGCTTGGGGTAGGAAAGTGCTTTTGGGGATATTTTTTTTTTTTTTTTGGATAGCTTAAAGCATGTAACTCTTGTGATTTCTAACAGGAAAGTTGCGGTAATTAAAAGGCTCCTTTGCAAAGCCTGTATTTCTTGCTGTGGAAGGTAGAAGTTAAAAAATACTGGAAGGAGATAAAGGTAGAAGTCTAGAGAGCTGGTAAGGACTTAAAGCAGTGCGTAGGGGTTCAGGACTTCTTAAACATTACTGTCTGGGGTGGAATAGAGGTATCTCGCATCTCAGGGAAAGGAGGCTGGCAGAAGGTCTGATCCTGGGAACACAACTTAAAAACCTAGATTTAGATATTGCCCCCTCTCAGCTGGCTTAAAAGCATGTGACCCTGTTGCAACAGAGTGGTACCTATACCAAGTGGTGCAAAGTTTGAGATTTGCTCCCTTTCATGTGTTTTCTTCCTTACTTCTAAAGAGTTAGCCCTCCTCCCTGCAGCATCACAAGGCTGGGCATTGATAGTTTCTCTCTGCGTAATGATGAGTTAAGGGTGCAAGAACAAGGACGGTATACAAACAAGACAGAGCTTTTGTTAAATAGTGACTGGTACAAGGAGGCTGAGACGTCTGTTCCCAGTTGCTTACGTGGAGACAAATACAGCAAGTCTTTAATGAAAACACATCCTCCTTTTGAGCTGCCCCTGCGCTCCTTGACCTGGAGTGTGAAATGGGGCAGAGTTGCAATGTACTGAGCTGTGTGTTCCACATGACCAGGCAATGAAAATAGACAGCTTTCACATGGGCTTTTCTAGTGTGGATGAGTGCAATGGCACGTTCCCCTGACTGGGACATGATACCACAGGCAGGGACAGCGCCCGCTCTCCGATGTGGAGTCACTGGATCTGGGAAACCCTTGCACTGAGCAATGAAAACCTCTGATTCCTGTTTCAAAGTTCTGTCAGCCCAGGCTTAGTAGATCCACAAAGGTGACCAAAAGGTTACTGGCAGCTAAACAATCAACTAGTTTTATGATGCAGGAGTCCTTATGGTGATTCTGCCTAGTCCAGCAACAAGGAATGCAAGCCTGGAGTCTCAGATATCAAGAGGCTAAACAAACCAGGAGTCTTCAGAGACCTGGCATTTCTGTTAATGTAGGAGGATGGCTTTGCTTGGGGTGCCTGGTGCCATAGCTGTCACCAGCTAACCCCTGCATCTGTGGGGTATGAACACGTGGCTGTGACTCTTTTTTTGAGCTGCCACAATGCATGCACAGCTTTTCAAAATGGGACCATTTGTTTTGTTTTAAAGTCCAGTCCTGTGAACTGCTGCGGCTCAGGAGCTGTTTCACAAGCAACTCAGGTTTCCCTGCAGCAGGATTGCCCACACAGCTGTGGGCAGTTATGGAGGATCACTGGGGAGATTAAACGATTCCCTTTTGGCAAAAAGAGCCCTAAGTCAAGTCACAGGACATACCTGAAGGCTCATCAAAGTGATTTATGTCATCAGGCTAGAGCTGGTGTCTTTCTAGTCACTTTGAAAATGTTCCCCTTCTGAGAGTGGGGATCGCTGCCTTTTCTTCCCCATATTGCGTCAAACAGAGGAAACCTGGATCTGGCAGTCAGACACCAAGTTGATCTTGCAAGCGTTGTTGCAGAGCCAGCATGTCTGCTGGAAAACAACACCTACCAGTATGCAGTGCTTTCCCAAAATGGGGATCTATCATTATTGCCCACTTTTTAAGGGTAGGGAAATTAGGACTTGAAAAAGTACAGCCCAGTCACAGAACAGCGCTGGCTGAACTGGTGCTTGAGCTCAGCTCCCATGTCTCGTTTCCGGATGGGAC